AAATTACAACGTAGGTCATATGTACAGTTATTTTATTTTGTAGACAACCACACCGGTTACCTGGTCTCCAACTAGATTAGCCACTTCCCTGTTTTACGAGTACCAGTTTAATTTATTTCAGGGCATTATTCAGATCACCTAGATGAAAACAAATTTATACAAAATTCGTTTCCCCAAATTGGTTCTGCCGGGAACGGGACGTGGAACGGGAACGTCCAACTTTGCACTTTCAAGATTTTAATTCAACTATAACATTTAGTGCGCACTCACACAAGTAGCATTCCGGATGCAACGCCACAGCAGTTGTAATGCTGTCGGAAAACAATGCAGTGGGCTCGACGTGACATACACGTAACTAATAAGAATAGTTCATTCCCGAAAATATTTTGGTGGTACATAGCGTAGTTACAATTTTTATTACAATTGAATTGTATCTCGGGAGCCCGAAAACTGCGGTAGAACAATACAGCCAGCGGTCAGGTTGTCTGACTGCACTTTAATTGCCATTTTGTATTAGCAATGCTGACGGAATGCATCTCGTGTGAGCCTTATGATAATTTCATAGCTAAAATAATACATCTTCTCGTTTATTACATTTCGTCTGATATGTAATGGGAATGAGTAAGGACGACTGAATGCAATACGCAATAATGCAAAAATTACACAGTTAACCTTGAAAGAGATAATACCTAGTTATCACAAGACGATTGACATATTGTACATATGTCTGTAATAATGTTTACAGAAATTGAATAATAAGTGATACGTAACCGCAAAATCATAAATATTTTTGTAAAAACCCAAAAAAGTTGGCCTTAACGTATTGATAATTAACTCTTAAAATTTACGTGAAAAACATTCGCACATTGATACCTTGATATTACTAAGATATCTTAGTCATGTGCTGTCAAATTGAATGTCACGTGAATCACGTGATTACTATTGCAAAATTCAATATCGGGACGACTATAAAATTTATTGCTTTGGAAACTGAAAGCTATAAGCTTACATTTATTGAAAGAATCGTCTTTAATGCAAATGGGATACGACACATTTAAATATTAACGCCTTTTTATTATGACTGACATACGTCTCGTTCAATGTCATGATGGATTATTTGTTCATCGGCCGATCTACATTCCAGAGTTACATATATTTATAACCTTATATATTATGTTATAATATTATATTGAATTGAAAAGCGTGCGCAGACTCCAAGGGGCTTATAGGTGACTCGGAATTAGTAGAGGTGAAGCTGCAGCATCCTTGAACACCGCCGTAAAGTTAACTGCTTATAGATATTGTACAGGATATGTTACGGAGAGTGTGCGAGAGAATTCCATGATTTATTTCCGCCTTCCCCCTTTTATCATCGGGGACCAGATGTAGGCTGGGGTTCCACCCCTGTTGTGGATATTACAAGGATTCGTAAGAAGCGTTTCGCTTCCACATTTATATGGCGAACGGCTATGACTCGAATTCCCTGCCTGTAGACTTGTTCCCTGAACGGTATAACTTGGGCCCATTTCAAGGCTAAAGTGAATATGTATTATTTAGATCGGTTCACACGGCGACTTTTAGCAGCGATGCAAACGCGCCACTGCATCGATACAAACGCGCAATTGTATCGGTACACTTGCGATTTATAAGCGATTGCATCGATGCAATCGCGCGTTCGTGTCGATGCAATCGCGCGTTTGTATCGAAGCAGTCGCGCGTTCGTATCGATGCAATCGAGCGTTTGTATCGATGCAGTCGCGCGTTTGTATCGATGGAATCGCCAATAAATCTCAAGTGTAGCGATGCAATCGCACGTTTCGCGAACACGCGTTTGCATCGTTGTTAAAGTCGCCACGTGTAACCACTCTTAAGCATGATCCATTGTCGACTTCATCGCCACTGTACAGGTGAGATGGAGGTCAAAAGTCAAAATAAATAATATTCAAATGCATATTTCATCTGACATGTATACTTTTCGACAAGTTTATTAGTGGCAATGAAACAAGAGTCTTAACTACTTGAGATAAGTATGAGGATTCTTATATTTTTATGTCGGTTTAGAAATAATTTAGATCAGTAAACATGGCAAGACCGGTAACGTGCTATGTTTAACGTTCTGAACCCCTACTCAAAAGAGTGTGGCGAAATGGATGTGTTGCTGTGTTGAGAATATTTGGCGATTATTTTGTATAATAGTACTAATGAATGAAGTTATCAATGACATACAAATAAATAGGAGTTGCTCTTGTGTAAATAATAAACAATATTAATTATAAATATTAAATATATATAAGTTATAAACATTCTTAAATAACAATTATAGAGGAATGGTTTGGGAAGCGTAACTATAAAATTTAAAAAAAATCAAATAATGGCTGTAAAATACTACTAAACTCTCAATGTTATAGTTTCACGATAATTAGAATTACAAAGACTATTTAAAATGCAAGTCAAGTTTTTTTTCTGTGCAAATCATGTAAGCACTTTTAACTAATTACCGCTGGTGAGTCATACGTAAAGGCCACATAGTTACGAGCTCTGTTTCAATGAGGTTTTTCTGCCAAACACATTTTTCGCAGAACTGTCAAATTTAAAAAAAAATCTCTTAATCCCAACAAAGTTCTAAGAAATGAATAATATCATATCGTTCTGAATGTAGAGCAACACAAGTTTTGTTCAATTATGCATATACTACCTGTATATGTCATATTTAACGATATCTCGAGTGCAGGGAGCTCTCGTTGTGCTGTGTTGTGTCCAGGAGTTATTAATTTCGTAGCTTTAGTACTCATAGTACAGGGAATTATACTGATTGCATGCTCAGTATTATTATAATTATACAAATTATCACATTGCAAGTTAAAAACGTATGGTTTTAGGGATACTTTTTTATGAAACGTTCGATCGAACATCTTTTCCAAAGTTTGCAAAACACACTCTTATTTAGGCTGAAACGAACTTTGACTTCGACTAAGCATCCCCGTAGCATGGCTACGCATGATAGTCGCGACACGAGCGACAAAATTGAAATAAGCGCGCGCTATTGGCCATCTAAATTAGATCTGATTGAGACAGCCAACAGCGCGCGCTTGTTCCAATTATATAGCGCGTGTCGCGACTAACATGCGTAGCCATACTGCGGGGGCAGAAATGATGAACTAAGCAAGATTTTTGTATTGAGAAAATGAACTTACTAAGTTTAAGCAATAAACTTGAGTTTGCTTTGTAATTTCTTGCTCAAATTATGGCAAAGTGCGATTTTTAAACACAAAAAACGTGCTTAGCTCGCTAACTTTGCTTAGTCAAAGTTCGTTCCGCAAATCTTAGTATGGCAGAAAGAGGAACAGTGTGAAAAAGAGTGTTATGGTGTGAAAGATGATATAGTGGTTAGGATATAAAAGGGAATGCTTCGATGGTTTGGTTGGTAATATGAAAAAGTGGAATGTTAGTTGAATTACGGCAGAATTTTATAGAGCGAATGTTGATGGAAAGGCCGATCTCAGCGTACATATCTCAACCAGATTAAGGATGTCCTCAAACCCAGCCTACTTTTATAAAGATATATTATGAAGATTGATGCGAGTCAAAAAAGGGACAAGGATATGTCGGGAACACGACGTTGGTAGATTGGTGTGATGGTATGTTTGTAAAAAGCAGTGTAATAAAAAACTTAAAGTATTCATAATCTTCTTTTTAAATAATCTCAGTACAGAGTACTTAAAAGCCGATTTCAATAGTTCGTGGAATTACATCTATTTGCCTAGTTTTATTACAATCGGTTACCGGAAAGTGCGCGAAACCGGGTTCATCCCCTAGTTTGCCACCCTTAGAGGTGGAATATTTTCTTCAAATTGAAATGGGACCACTACTGAGGTATCTTTTTTCCAACAAAAAAAAAATCGAATTGAAAACCTCCTCCTTTTTTTGAAGTCGGTTAAAAAATCAGGTAGATGAATTGAAACCATAAATCAGTTATTTTATGTACAGTTTAAAGAACAAACAATGCTTTTACATAACTCTTGCTTAAAACCTAAATAAGTTAATGTTCTGCTTAAATATGATTATTTGCAAGACATTTTATGTACTTACACCGGAAGATGATAATTTGAATGCAAACAATAAATTTGTTAACGAGATTCACTACAATTAGTGAATTAGATTTATAAATTTACCATATTCAGTTACCTATAGTAACGCCATGTGATCTCCTGAAATGTCTCCTTGACATTGTATTATTCAATTCTTGTGTTCCGTAAAAAATAATTTACAAGAGTGTGTAATGAAAAATAAGGAATAAACGTCCGTTGCTTTGAATTTGTTATTTTCAACAATAGCCTTCACCTTCTTTTTTGCTATAGTGAAGAATCTCGCATATAAAACCTCACCTCATTATCAAACTAGTAGTCACTGCCGCGCTGAACTTTTTAGCCAAGCATCATTAGTAACCGTCGGAAATGAAGATGAGAAGCTTTATTGGCATGCCTCAGTTAGATTTGAATACGTTACTGTATAACAAGTGGCCTTATTGTTAAGTATTGACTTGTTGAAGGCAACCAAGCCATGTCAACGACCTAAGTTCCAGGTGAGTTTTAACAGTTTCTACTCGCTTTCGAAGGGCGCAATATAGACAGAAATACGCAGAACCATCAGTGCTTGAGCTGTGTCATGATCGTCTTATATTACGATAGTCAATAGTCTTATTAAGTAGAGATTAAAGCAGGTAATTTTTAGATTATTATAATACCCTGTCATTGGTTATTATTAATTATCCTTACCTATTTCTGCCGCCAAGCAGTAATGTGAGCATTATTGAGTTTTATTTTTGAAGGGTAAGAGTGCTGGTGAAATCACAGGCACAAGAGACTTGTCAACTTATGTCTCAGGATGACGGGTGCAATGGCAGTGCCCCTCAGTTATTTGCGATTTAAAGCTCTGAGTGGCAATGCAATTGTTATGGATAGGCATGTCGCTTGCTACCACACATACAAAGAGGTACTAACCTGTACACAAGGCTTGCTAAGCGAGACGCAGAGTCCGTCGGCGTCCTTGCTGTAATGCTCGACCAGTTCCTGAAGCGTACGGAAGGTGGTACGACGAGCGATGAAGAATCCCCCCTCGTCCAACTGTCTGATGCGGTAATGCTTCACCGTGTCGCCATCACGTACTGTTAACAAAAGATGAGAATCAATGTTTTATTCAATATAGTATTTTATTACCACTTTCTGAATGTCATTGAATACAAACGATTTTAGGAAGGCGTCGTTCCTTAGAGATGAGGTTTTAATGTGGCAATAGCATCTCTATTGTTAATCTACCGAGAAACGTAATCACATCTGGACGGGTATATTGTTCTTTATTACAATCTATTTGTCTTGCAAAGGGGCGTTTGTAAAGGCGTTATTTGTATTTGCCTCGTTTAATATAATAGCTGAAACTACATAGAAATATAAAATAATGCAGAACGCGGACACTACAAGAAGGAGCGGATTTAATGTACGCACGCGTCATAACACTAGACACTATTATTAAATTCAAATTGACAATGGCTCGTGCCGTGATCCGTTGACGCTCTAGCCGGAAATTTACATTTTCATAGTAGCTGAAACGGGTTTGTTTTCAGCTATTAACTTATATCGTCTTTTGTTGATTTATCTACTGTAATAAACAGTACTTGTACAGGATTTATATAGTACACCAATGAAACGTATGGATAATAGAAAGGTGTCCAAATACTAATTAAATGGTTTCATGATTTTTTTTCCCGTTTGTAATGTGTAATGTTTAGTTTTTACAATGGCAATTTTAGATAAGTCTCTTCTTGCATTAACCGTTTCATTGATCTTTGTGGGACACGTACATTCATTCATTACGGTTCACACCTACATAATTATATTAAAAGGGTTTCGGCAACGAAAATTCTCCATTAAACTTATAAACCTTTTAAACGAGCTTCTAGATCATTAAACATGAGTAAGCAACTGTAAACAGTGGTTCGGTTACTTCGTTAACAATGTTTGGTAACATGATAGATATTGCAAATATCGGGAAGTATGACACGTGATCTAAATAAACTCGAAACGGTATAGATGTTAGACTTGTATATATTGGTGTACGATAAAAAAATCGTTTACTACGATAATTTTATTTGAAATTTTATTACAGTCAGGATAAATAAAATAGATTGAAAATTGTTTTCATTGCGGTGGCTAGATAAGCCACCAATCATCTGGATGACTTTTTCGGGCATAAAAGATACCACAATAGAATACTGAAAGAGTAATAATAACTGTAGTGATTATCTATCCATCTGTGATAAGTGTTTTTTACAGTAAAATTTCTACGCTAGCAACAAAAACGTACATATATATTGGTAAAATGTACCATTTATTTTGCATGGACTATAGCATTTTGTAAACATGTTTAAAATGCCGTGGTAGCCTAATATTTTGACCTACCGTCTCTCAAGCAGAGGCTGTGTGCTCGGAAACCGTGTGAAGTCCCCCAACCCGCATTGGGCCAGCGCGTGGCGGATTATGGCCTAAACCCCCGTCGGAGAGGCGATCAATGTCCAGCAGTGGGACGTATAAATGGGTTGATGATGATGATAGCATTTTTTAAGGGTGCTGATGAAATTAGGCGGAGCGACAGTGCTGTCTCAGATCTTTCTGATTTGCTCTGAGCGACACTGCAACTGTTATGGGTAGGCGTGTCGCTTACCACCAGGCGCACGACTAAATAAAAAAAAGTCATCAGTAGAAACCTTTATCAACAAGTTGCTTTTTACATCCTGCTAATGTTATAATATTTGTGTGCTCAACTGTGACAAATCTCGTAATTGTCATGGGCGTTGAAAGTCATGCTTAAAGAATTAAGCGTTAATGAGGAAACGTGTTTGAAAATGGTTTTATCTCACGTTTTGGTTGTGTGACTTTGTTTAATTATCATTCAGTAAGTTGTAATAAAATAGATGGAATGAGCAGATGACGAAGATTTTGCAGTTCGTGCACGTAGAATCTGAATTACAATTTTAGTTAAAGCTACTATATATTTGTTAAAGTAAGGGTGTTTATGTAAAACTATAATATAAACTGATTACAACAGCCACAAAAAAAACTGCAATGCTGTCGATTACTTATAGGGATACTGTTTTGATTAATCTGATAGTACATTTCAAAATCTATGAATAAATAAATAAATAAACAAAATGTTATATTTACCAATGTCGTGTATTACTATTGAGGCCCGATTCGGGAAATAGTAAAATTGTACTGTCGTAATTAAAAATGGACTTCAAACTTAGTTGATTTTCAAAAACCTTGGTTTATTAAAATAATATATAATTCCTTCAACAAACAATGCGCACAAAAAGTATAAAGTAAGTAACATCTTATCTAATTAGGAATTGTATAAATTTACAATTGATGCGTTTGTTGGTATACGAATCGGAAATACCAGTTATTTTTATATCTTTATTATCATCGTCCGGTTGAAGTTAACTATGTTGATGAGTGATTTAAATTTCAAATCAGTTCCCGTCTTCATAAAATATGAATAAAAGGACCCATTCGATGAAATGTTGTCATGTACCTCGTGACGTTATGTGTATATTTACTTTACTGTACACGACACTTATTGGGGCGATGCAAAGAAATCTTATTATTATAACGTGCCCGCATCTATGGAATGCAAAATTGGAATATGTAACACCAAGGATTACTGCACAATAATCTGACCGTCAACTCTAGATATCGTCTCTTTCCCATTGACAAATCATTTATTGTAATTTTTAAATTGATTGAATGTATGTTTGTTGTGAAATGTTTGACCACCATGATTACTTTTGTGAAATTACTCCACAAGTTTGTTATAATTATTAATACTAAGATCAAACACTTAAAAAAAAACTAAGAAAACCTTCCATCCGGCTGGATTTGAACCGATAATCCATTATTATTTCGAGTATTACGAAGTAAGAGACAACTAAATATACGACAGGCTATTGTAAACTATATACATCGCAACATATTATTAGAGTTAGAGTTTATGTAAAAACAGATTCTTCATGTCTAATAATGATAAGAGGTCATGGTAGGCTAATGTAATGGTTTGACCTTCAGGCTCTCAAGCAGAGGCCGTGGGTTCGAATCCAGGTAAGCACCTCCGACTTTTCGGAATTTATGCGCGAACTTAAATTTGAAGATTATTATGAGCTTTTCAGTGAAGGAAAACATTTGATGAATTGAAGTGAAGTAATTATGATTAATACGTAGTGTAATTGTGTACTTCGGAAAATGATAAGTTGTCCCCAGAGTCATGGTCGTCCATTCGAATAATAATCAACGAATTTAATTTTATAAAGAATTTTTATACACAAAAGGGTTGAATACAATCTAATTCACCTCATATTCCACGACCATGAAAGTACCGACGCTTTAGTTCCGAGGTTCAAATTATTGCAGACATAAAGTAACCTTGCTGTTAGATTCTTAATTTCCTTTTACATGTCCGAATGTCGTACAATATATACTTCTGTGCCTTGGAAGTGAAATTGAACTCCAATTACAGTCAGTCACTCACGCCTCGCGCAATTTGATAAAGGCGATTTTTTGCAAACTAACATCCACTAAATTGAAGTACAAACTGATCTTTATATATTATGAATTTATGATTTATGAATAAAGATAATATGCTTGCCCGAACAGAGGCGTTTTGCTTGAAGAAATTATTGTATCATACATTGCGTAGGTCATCTGACGTCACTACAAGCGTATCTCCGACCGTATTGAATAATTTGATTATGTACCCAACCTTTTCAAGTATTATTCATATAAAAAGGTTAAATGTATTCTTACTCTCTTATTACCATTGCTACAATTGCCAAAAATATTTGTTACGTAGTCGGCTGAATATTGAATAATACTGACTTTTCATTAGCGCGCAGAAATTTTAATTGGCAGAAGTAAGGGCCTTTACGTGAGCATTCATAACAATAATATTTAATTAAATAATAATATAAGTTTAATGAATATTTCAGTGGTATTAACACCTCACGTGGGCGAGCACACAGACCGTAATGATTACTATGTGAAATTCAGTCGATACGGTCAATTTATTACGCAAAATGTTAGTAGATTCTACGAACAATATAAGTTTTCATTCATGCACTTTTATTTTTAGTGTTGCTCAGCGCAACAGAAGCTTGCTTGATCTTAACGCAGTTTTGCTGAGAGCCGAAAGCTTGGCTAATTTTTGTTCCTATTATTATGATATTATGTTATGTTGCATAGATTACTGTTAATAAGTGTTGGAACACACAGAAAAATATATTTGTTTATATTTGTGCCTTTGTAAGTACGTAATAATAATAAAAAATAAAAAAATTCTAAAACAGAAGAACATCGGATCTATGAGATGAAAGCGACAAATAATATGTTTGGTGACATCTAACCCGTCCAGAGTTGGTTAATTCTACTAAATATCTAACATTTCTATTTCGCTTCTAAATCGAAATAAGAATTATTTCCAAAGCTTCCTAAAAGGTGCTTTATTCTATACTTCCCTCCTTGTCATAAATACCGAACTACATTTGGTAACTTTCGAGATATTGGCAACTAAGGTTTTTTTTTCTTTGAAAAATGTCAATTACGCTGATTTTGTTTAACATTAAAACTGAAAATAAATAAGATATTAAAAACCGCCTACAGGGAGTTGAAGATTTGGTTTGGCTAATTCCAGATAATATATTAAGAACTTTCGCTAAAAAAGGTTGATTACGTTGGTTATGATAAGGGCAGTGTGGCTGTCCATATAATCAGTAGTATAATAAAAACGCAGTATTTCTGTTGTTCAACAACTTTTCAAATTTCATGCAGAAATCGATGAACAGATCATGCAACCTTGTAAAAACAATTATTCTTACTTACTTACTAAATACATTATCAATGTCAGATACACTAGCAATGTCTATTTTATGTGTACTGCGTCGTAAAATATGTCTCAAGTTATTAATATTACTTCAAATAAGTTTTTTTTTATAGTGTACTAACAGTTAGAGGTTACTGAGCCTATATTCTAGCCTATTACACAATGTGCAACCTTCGGATGAGTCGGTATGGAAGCTATTTACTCTATGTGCAGTTACGTTAATTTATATGTGGTAATTTT